AGCACAGTCAGCACAGTCAGCACAATCAACACATTTCAGCGCAGATACGCCGTCATCATCAATTATTGACTCAACCATTTCAAACTACTACGCATGTCACACATAACAACCTTAATAATAACCGTTCATCCGTTCCCTCATTTACTCACGATGTTCCTAATACATCCTATGCAAGAAGCACAAGAAGCGCGCGAAGATCATCACCCGTTCATGTTCCAATTAATAATAATCATCAATTACATTGTATGAGATCTCAAATTCAGTCTCAACCACAATTATTTGCTAGTAATCTGTCACAACACCGACAGCAACAACACCGACAGCAACAACAACAACAGCAGCAGTATCAACAGCAGGAACGTCAACGGCAAGAACGTCAACAGCAAGAACGTCAACAGCAAGAACGTCAACAGCGGGAACGTCAACAGCGGGAGCGTCAACAGCAGCAGCAGCATCATCATCAACAGCAGCAACAACGCATTTCAAATTTAAATGTAAATTTAAATGTAATAGGTCAACCTTCCATTTTTAATCATACCTTGCAAATCATTGATCCTACGTTAATAACTACATCAGCTCCTTCTAACGTTAATCTATTTAATGGATCCTCAAATGGAAGTAATGGTTTTGTTTCTGGATTAGGTATCCAAGATATGCCTAATCTTATGTCTTTTGGGTTATGTGATCAGGATGATGGTTCTTTCAATGAGTGGATCAATTGGGATATCAAATTTTAACTAGAGATTAGAACCGGGTTATAGTAAACCGGGTCACCGTGTCAAAACGATTTAACCGGGTCAAAACAGTTGAATAAAAATCTGTTACTATTACACAGAAAACATAAAATTTAACACATTATTATTGTATTGTGAATAAACATAATTTTTTTCTCTTACTAATTTATCCAAATGTTCAATCCCGCTAATTTACAAACTTTTGGGAGCACTATCTATTGCGAAAATTTTGTTAAAAATTTTCCTTTGTATAAACCTTCATTATTATTTTCTTTGCTTTGCTAATATGTAATACACGTTCGATGGTACCCCGAGAATTCGTAATGCTGGAGTTTGGGTCATGTAACGTGATCACGTTGCATGAATACGTATGTGATCGATAGAGGTTGGTGCATAAAATTAAAGTCTAATATGTACGTACGTACGTACGTACTTTATAGCGCTGCACATAGTACCGTTCGTGACAAATAATTTAGATCAATTTTAGTTCAATTTTTTAAAAGATTATGTGATATAAAATATGTGTGATTTTTAATTAAAAAATCGGGTCACACATTGGGTCTATATTAGAGTTGCTGATGAAACTGGTGACTATCTAAAATCGGATTGGCTATTTCACAAAATAGCCAATCAGATTTTAGATAGTCACCAGTTTCACCATTACAATTTAATTTCACCAGCAACTCTATATGCAGAGCTATACAGTATAGTATGTAGTATAATCAGGGTTGTTAGGCGGTAAATTACGGTAATTTACCAGGTAATTTACCGAAAGTGTGGTAAATTTACCTTATATACATAGATCTAAATGCAAATTATATAAATTGATTGGCTAAAAAATTCTTTAGCCATCAAATCACATGATTTATATTGCACGAACTTTATTGTTCAAAGTAAATTTACTGGTACTTTACCGAATAGCTCAGGTAATTTACCAAAAAATTAAAATTACGGTAATTTAACAACCCTGAGTATAATGGATGATTAAACGATAATTTAATATATAAGTGCATCGACTGCACATGGAAAATACTATCTTAATAGTATACTGAGTACTTGTAAGTTTTCTTGTAGTGATATTAGGTGGAAGCGCCTAAACGATACTCCAGTCAAGAATAATAACCAAGGAAATAAAACGCTAGTAAAAGTCGAATTGCACGCGTGGGGTTAGAAAACTTTGATCGCATACCCAATACTGGATAAATTATTTGAGAACCGCACGGCATTATTGTTCACAAAGAGAGAATACACTAACTGCATGATCGTCCCTAAGTTTATGTCTGCGGCCCTGCGCTAAATTGGTGTCGAGTCATCTCTCTCAGATCACAACACAATTCAGATCTCTGAATCAGTTTTTTTTATCTTTAGATAATATCAAATCGAACTCCACCCACGAAAATTTGAAAAAACTAGTTATCCATAATTCTCGCCGTCACGATTATTCCAACCGTTTTCAACCGGTTTACCCGATTTCCAGGTGACAATGTTGCACCCGGTTCGGAACTCTAATTTTAACGTCAATGAACAATGAATCTATCAAAATTCATAGATCCTATTATTTCAAATTTATTCTTTTTTTAAATATATAATCATAACTTTATTTGGCAAGTTAAAAATTACACGTGAATACCAATTTTAATTTTCATTCTTTTTTTTGTTTATTCTAAAATTGTTTAATATCCATTTTTGTCAAACAATATTTTTTTGCTTGACAACTTTGATTGGTTTACATACACTTATAGTTTTATATGCGCATCAGTTTTTTTCATTTGAGTACATAAAAAATTGGTTTGCTTTTTTGTTTTTTTTTGTAATTAGTTTTCATATTGTGGTATCTAAAAAAATTCTAAAAATAAATCAATAAGATAAATAAATTCAATAAATTAATTCAATAAATGAATTTAATAAATAAATTCAATAAATAAATTCAATAAATGAATTCAATCAATAAATTCAATAAACTGTAAATAAATTCAATAAATAAATTCAATAAATAAAATTAATAAATAAATTCAATAAATAATTGAATAAATAGTTGAATGAATAGTTGAATAAATAAATGAATAAATAAATTTATGTTAAAATAGTCTTAAATTATTCGATTTTTTTAACCTATGTGTAATTATGTATTAAAACTAATTTAGTTCAATTTACCTTTTTACTTGGGAAATTACGACGTGTAATCGTAAAAATATAAAATTGAATAAATAAACTGTAAATAAATAAATAAAATATCTATAAATCAAGTCAACTTTGTTACGTAAAATCATTAAAATCCTCCAATCAATCTATTAAAGTCGACTACTGTTTTCAAATTCCTTTTAAAGAAATATATAATTACGCACAACGTCAATCATCTACGAATCATTATTATCTAAAACTATTTTGTTGTTTGTGGTTAACATCTCATCTCAAATCTAATTTTTTTGAAACTTCAACCGAATTGGAATTACATCAAAGTTCTTTTTATCTATAAATGTATGTATTTTACTTTTAAATCATTATAATTCTCACGTCTTATGTAGAGTTACATTTTCTCAAGCACAGAGCATATATGACAGATGTGCTTGCATACGACATATGTACGTATGTGCAAACGTACATACGTAAGTACGTTCGTATGTAAGGATCCTTATATTGGTATCCTTATATTTGGTTTTCTTATAGCAAAAGATGCTTCCGTAGAAAAAAAGAAATGCATATTTTAAGTGGTTACTATTATAATTTAAGAATTATTATGTAGCTGATTTTAGTATGCTCATCTATTCACGTTGCTTTGTCATTTAAGTATTAAAATCTACATGAAGCAGCAGCCTACGTGACGTGAAGTAATTTTACGGGAAGTATTACTTTCAGAAAACAAGAATTCATATTAAGTTAATGCATATAGTATGGTTAACTTTTGATTATTTCGTATAATTTAACTCTAATAAGTAGATTAACGCAAGTCAGAATGCCTTACATCAACTATCCATTTAGATCCATCAGTCTTTAACATTGTAATTTTTCTTTTTTTACTACAGCGTATCTTAACTCCACACAATTGATGACCTGTATTACGTACGTACGTACGTATCGTTACTAGTATGTCTAATTGTCATGATTAGCATCGTGCCATCATTGATGGAGCGTATTTCTATTTTAGTAGTAATAGTGTTCAATTAATCCATTTATTGCTTTTTGCAGATTTCAAATAAATCTTTATATAGTCAATACATACAATTTAACTACTTACGTACGTACGTACGTATTCGTAATTCATATCATATACTATACTTACGTACGTACATACGTACATACGTGCATAGTGTAATATTCTCAATTACATTTTGTATTACGAATTTAATTGTCTATACAGTATACATACTGTATGTTTAAATCTGAAATAGCGAGCTGAAATATATCTATTAATTACTGTAAATTACGGTAAATTGTATGATACGTATACCGTATATATTTATCTATAATAATTTTATGTTGTTCTTTAATTATTTTTAGGCAAATTTGCTTGAAAATTTTGATTAATTGTATCATTATGTCAAATTGTTTAAACCTTTATATGACTGGTGCAAATTTGCCCCCGGGGTGATGCCACCAGGGTTACTGTATCTCAAAAATATACTAGCTAACTCACGTCAGGGTACTAAGTAAAAATATTCAGAATCTTCAACACCTAAACCTAATTAAAATTTGGACCTTTACATCTAACTTTTGTTTTTTTTCTAAAACTGCACCCTAATCCTAAATTTTGATAAAAATTAGAAGTGGTAATTTCACTACCGGTTAAAAATAATTATTTTTTCTTTATATTATGGTTAATAGTATTATAGCTAGGTATTTTGTATTAAAAACTTACTCAATATTTTAATTAATAAAATATATATACATATATATAGGCTAGATTTGAAAAAACAATTTTTCAAAAGAAAATTTTTTATATAAATTAATTTAGAATAAGATTAGAATTATTTTTTTACTTAAAATACAAAAATAGTTGTATTAATAAAATTATGCAATATAGTTCTTTAAAATTTGTATTTTTTATAATTTATTATAAAATTTATAATATAAAATTGATTTTTAAAAATTTTTGTTAATTTTATTCCTTTTTCTAGCATCTAGCCTATATACCTATTATATATAGTAGTTTAAGTTTTCTAATTTTAAATATTTATATGAACTTTTTTAAACAAATTTGTTTAAAAATTTGGATTAAACAAAGTTTTATTTTAAAAATTTATATAAATTAGAAAACTTAATATATATATTTAGTATTAATAATTTAAAATTTTTATCTTTCAAATTGGATTGAATACAACTAGAATAGTTAGCCTGGTTATATATCTATTAGCAGTAGCAGTAAACAGTAGTAGCAATAAATATATATATACATATACAGTATCTTGAATACAAGAATATTCATACAAATGATCTTGTTTTAACTCTTTACAATAATTGAGTTAATGAAATTTTTTATTAGGTTTTTACTTTTATATACTAAGTAGATAAATATAAAGTAAAGATTAGTTTATGTAATAATATATAATTTTTACAAGTCCAACACAAATTTATAATTGTAATTGTTAGAATAAACCAATTTTCTTTTTCTTTTCTTATTATTTTCTTTTCTTTTTCTTTTCTTATTTATATATTTTATTGTATTTTTTTATATTTTTATATTTTATTTTTTGTACTTATTTTTTCTATATTTTATAATTTATTTCTTAACAAGTAGATAGCTGTTAAATAATAAAAAGTTTTTAGTAAGTTAAAAACCTTAAAAAAAATTAAAAGTTACTGAAGTATATCATATCTGATAAATTACAAATATTTCTTAAATTGTAAACCAATACAAGTCAATTTGTATGTATTAATATTATAAATATACTACTGATCTATTTTTTAACAATTTAAAATATTCAAGTAAAATTTAATATAATAATATTTGAAAATAAATATTATTTTTTTGTAATATTTATTTTTAGATTATAAAAAAATTTTAT